GGGAGTAGTCAATAAATGCTGCTTGAAGGAGAAGGGACAGAGGGTCAGCAGAATGAGGAATAAAAAAAAAAAAAGAGAATTACTGACTTCTCTAAACACACTGCCAAGGCAGAGCCATTCCCAAACTCAACCTTCCTGAGGGCTTTGCAGAAATGCTATGACTTGGAAGCAAAAATACTTAACATAGGTTTAATATTCCTTCTCCTTCTCTCCAAAATACGTACTGATATAGTAATCTCGTTTTCTATTTGAGGGGGAGAATAAGGAGGGATCAAAGGACAATGAAAACAGTTCTCCCGTCCTTGAAAGTCACTTTTCTCCATTGCACAGGTATGTCTTTATAATCCTTTCAAGGAAGACTACCAAACAGCAAGCATCTTTGGGACAAACTGTAAGATAAAAATAGAACTTCCCTTGCCACAAATAAGGCATCTCACTGAGTTTATGCTGTTTTGTGAGGAGGTGGACAAAACTCCTGTTTAACAGTATGAATCTCGGAAGTTGAGACATCTTAAGGAAATTGATAGAGTCTCCACAGGTTTAATGAGATATACCTTGACCTTGCTGCTTTTGGAATCTAGGTATGTTCACTTCAGGTTGCTGCTTAGATTTTGACCTGAAGAGCTCCTTATCATCATCTAGGTAATGCATGGACAGCCATAGCATCTCCCAAAGTCAACAAATTGCTCTGATGATTTTAAAAAGCTTTTTCTCAGATAGTAGAGTCAGCACCACTAATACCTAGTGAGCCTAAAGAGTTGACCACTCAGCTTTGAAATCTTGAAATCAGGGAGCCCTGAGAATGGCAGCCTTTGTATGTGAGAGCTTTCAACAGCAGAGGTCTGAATTGAAAGGTTTTCTTGTTGTTTTTGAGTAGAGTTTTACATGTCAGGTCTTACGGAAAGGAACTAGCAATAAGTCTTTCCACAGCAGTCTGTCAGCTTTTCCTTCTAGTACATTTTGTTTGCATTCACAGTTTTGTGTGGTCATGAGTTTGGTCTTGTGTTGCCGGACAGCTGATGATGAACACAGATTTGATTAACTATGTTGATAAATTTGGACAGTTTTGTCTAGTCTGTTCTAGGCACTTCTAGGTCCTTCGTAGCTTTGATGCACAATATATTTTGTTTTGCCCAGCTTGGAACTATAAAGATGAGTGAGTTAGTCTGAGTACTCCAGCTGCTTAGGCTACGCTTGCATGAAAAGGAATTAGGTTTTAGGGCAGCCTAGCAAATCTTGCTTCCTGCATGAGAACTGCTGTGTGTTTATCAGGTTCAGCTTGTGCTAGCAGTGGAAAAGTACTTTGCTGATATAAACCAGATTAATTCAGCAGACTTATTTTTTTTTTAAAAAAAAAGCAGGTAACTTGGCTCCATTCCAGAAACAAAAATGTAGTCCATTGGACTCTGAGGCCTTATTGTAGGCAAGGGCTTTGCCTACAGGGACGTCTTGTTGCCAGATTCCCTCCCTCCTGTTTCTTTCACAAGCCTTTCTTTCAAATCTTATTGAGGTTCAGTAGTCAATGCAACGCTACCACGCTGGTTGGAAAAGGTAGAATTGGATGGATGCTGAAGGGGTTGGATGCTAGAGGATGCTGAACGGCTAAGGCTGGCAGTGACTTTTGCCAGGGAAAGGTTGAACAGATAGAGTGCAGCTTTGGAGAAAAGGGAATGAAGCACCCAGATTTGGAGTGTTTTTTTCTTTTTTTTTTTTTCCCTCCTTCCAACAGAGAATAAGAGAGATGGAAACAAACTTCAGCACTAGAACACTAATTATGATTTATTTGATGCTTAAATAAAAGTGTATCCTGCCTTTAATGGCATGCTTCTTATGTTGGTATCATCTTTTGTCTGATACTGGAGTAAAATAGTCCCAAGTGAGTAAAAATTTGAGTTATTATTGTGCATTCAATTACCTAACAATTAAATAACTGGTGTTTTTTTTTTCTTTTTCAGAGGCATAAATATAAACTATATATCAAGTTTTCATATGAGATTCCACCCTTTACTAAAGAATTACACTAAATTATTACTTGACAATACTGGAAAAGCTGCTAAAATAGCAAGGGTAAAATTACACTGCTAATTCCCAGGCCAAAAATCTACCAGTTTAGGCCATATGTTTCTCAGGCTGTTCACACATTTTGTTTTGTTTCTTCTCTTTTCAACATCCTGTCAAAGGTTAACTGACATTCTTCCATATACCCAAATTTTCTAATGTCAGTATTAACTATGATCAGAGTCATATAAAAAGGCAGGACAGAGTACTCTTTCAAGGATGTGTGGGGGTGAAGAACATCTGAATTCAAAATTCAAATCTAGAAAAATTCAGAATGGCCTAGTCAAGTCTTGTATCAGCTAATGGGAATTGAAATGCCTGCCCAAGATAAGTGAGTGTATTAAATAATACAAATGTTTAAGCAAAAATAAAGTGACAACATACTTTGAAAATAAAGGTACTTAATTGCCACTAAGGAGCTTCAAGGAGGTTCCAGGATTCTGCTCGCTGACCAGCAGAAACTGAATCACCAGGTCTCTCTAATTGCCACTGTAGTTGTGCATTACAGTACCTTAAGACTGCATCTTATAGACAAAAATGTCACATTGGATACAATTTCTAGTAAAGTTTGTGCCATCTATCGATGTAATTGCTTCTGACAGCGTAATTGTTGTATTGAAAATCTTTCCAGAAAGTCTGCTGCATGGAAAGTAATGCAACCAATTCATAAGTTGTGGACATCATAAGCAAAGAATTTATTGGGAAGATGACTACTTTCTTAAGTAAACAGCTTCAGGATAACCTCTCCTAGTCTGCAGTGCAAAATAAAAGAGGTTCCTTGTCATTTCCCTTACATTATGCCCTGCTTCCACAGAAAAGTTGCATAAAGAGTTATCTTGTTTTTTACATGCAAATTGGTATTTACCTGAAGAAATATCCAAGAACTCTTTTGTGTGAACTAACCTATTGCCCCACTGCTGCTCTGCATAGCTGATATCAAATGTTGCTGAAGGGGTTTAGACCATGACACCTGACTATACTTCCTGACCCATAAGAGCTATGCTGTAACGGCCAAATTCATAATATAATCATAGCACCACAGAATAATTCAGGCTTGATGGGACCTCAGAAGGTCTCTAGACTGCATTCCTACTGCAAGCAGGATCAGCTATTAGGTCTGATCAGGCTGCTCAGGTTTTGCTGACCTGCGTGCTGGACCTGACTTTTACATTGGTCCATTTTTCCATCTCATTCAGGAAGGTCTGAGACCCAATATACTTCTAGAGATAAAACAAAGCAGCCAGAATCTGTCACAGCCTCTTTGGGGGAATGTCTCACATTTATAGCAATAAAGAAACTCTCTTTACAGTGGTAGGTTCTTTATATGTGAGCACTGCAAGCGCGGGAATTACCACCAACCTCTGTACAGCAGCACAAGAAACATCCTCTCAGACTGCCCTTGCTCAAGAACAGGAAGGAAGGGAGGAAAGGGGTGAGAAAGACAAACAGATCAAATTACTGGATGATTCCAATTATGTGTTAATATAATGACAGAGAGGCCCACCAGGAGGTGACAGAGAGGCCCACCATAAAATAGCCCATGGCATGGCACTGAAACCACACATTTAGTTTTGAAATAGAATTTTTCAAATCCCAAGTCTAAATCACTCAAACAAGAAATTCAAAAGCATCTTTTCCACTTCTCTAGTGAATTTCCTGATTATGACTAGACATTATTTTGTGAACAAATTCATCTCTCAAGTTTTTCAGGGAGTAACTGAAATATTTCAGATTGTCTCACTGCCAGGCAAAGATAGGATTGAAAATTCAAACACATATGAGATGAGAAAATCATTTCCTTCCTCTTTGCTCTGAATCTACTTCTTATCTAGACAACTATCCAATCAGATTTTGAAATTGTTTTCAAATGTCCTGGTACAATTTAATTCCTCTATCGAATTCCACAGTTTAATTAATCCATCTAACAAAGATTCAAGAAGTTATACCCTTGCCTCTGATTTTTGTCCAACAGTTTATAATTATTCATTACAGTGCAAAAAGGAAGAACTGAACTTAATCTTTGTTCACATACTCCTTGAGACTACCTCCAGGACAAGCTTACAGGGAAATTGCATACCAAAGCAAAACTCCTTTACACCTGTTTTTAAAACCAGGCTAAACACAGAGGGAATATTTACTGCACACTTAATAGGTTTATTAAAGGTAGGACTTTCTTTTCCTGCATAAGCTGCAAGATGCTTTAGGGATGGAAAGATGACTGTTTTTACACTGATGGTATTTGCCAGGGTGCTTATGACTGCTTTGCAGCTGTTTTGCCCTGGCATAGCTGGTGTAAAATAGCCTTTGGCTACCTGTGAATCAGTCCCTTCATCTCAGCAAAGATGGAAAGATTTCATTCGATGCCTTTGAATGGGATGAATACCTGTCTAACTAAGGAAAGAAATCAGCTTTGAGTTACATGTAAGGAGCTTTTTGAGCAAGAAGGCAGAGGAAGTGTAAAGAGCTCTAATTCGGAATTCTTGTTCTTTTTATTTTTACTTTCTACCTTGTGATACTTAGCTCTTTTTCTCTGTGGATGCAATGTGCTTTACACTGAAAAGAAACCTCGTTACAAACAGGATTAATGTACTAAGAAGTCAACATGCGTTAGCTTTGTCTATCAAATAGTGACTACACCAATAAGAAAGCTGTAAAGCATGGCACGGTGAGCAAGCAATTATTTTTTTGAGGGAAATTAAAAAGGAAAAAAAATAGGAAGAAAAAGCTCCAGGTTCATTCAGTTTTCCTCCACGAGATGTGCTTTGTGATGCAGCAGAGAAATTAAGTGAGGGGCCCCTTTAAAAGCCATCATACCAATCAGCAGGTTTAACTGTCAAGCAAGCTGATGTAGGGCTCTTTGAATTACTGAGTGAGGGATATTCTTCCTGCCAGGTCCTGTCCCCTGTAGGCACTGCAGAGAAGTATTATAGGGCAGTCCTTACCTTGGGAATTAGCCTGCAAGACCCCAATGCTGTCATCAAACTGCATAGATTTGATGTTGAGTGACGCCAAGATGCATTCCTTGTCCTGCAGCGAAGCATCATCAATATTATTCTGATTGGCTGACAGGATAACGCACATGTCGCAGAGGTTGATGTTGACAGCCCTTAAATCAGCCCGACTTAATGGCGTACCCTTCGGCGCAGAGAAAAAAGGAGGGGGGGTGAGGAGAAAGAGAGAGGGAAAAAAGAAAAACAAATTAAAGATTGAGAAGGAGCTTTGGGAAATTATTTAACAAGTATCTTTTTTTATGCTCTGACATTAAGCGGGTCTAACTATGTGCCAGGGAATAGGAGATGTGTGCTAATCTAAAGGGTAGTTGGTGCTGATGGCAGCATTTTAGGTTCAGTCTCAATACTCAGTCAAGCTATTACTAACAAACAAGAAGTAGGAATAATGCCAGCATTCTACATCTCATCTGCGACTTAAAATTGTCTTGATTTAAGGTGCTATCATGTGGCAACCTCTGGCGCTCTGAATATAACAAGGGATGTGTTTTAAATGTCTATTTATCTAATACCAAGTCACAAAGGTCTTGGGCAAAAGAATAACGATTTAAACAGAAAAACATTATGTGTCTTACACATGTGAGATGTAATCAAGATAGAGCTATTTTTCTAAAATGTGTACTACCTGCAGCAATACGAAAAAAAAAAAAAAAGGTTAATCCTTTCTAATGCATTCTTCTGGTGCTTCTACAAGGAAAACACACTGATCTTCAAAGTTGTGTGATTAAACCCTTTGAAACAGTAACAAGACTCTAGCTTAATTGGCAGAACTCATGTAATATTCCCTGTCACTGCAATGTCCAAACCAAGAATGCAATATCTAAAAAGAAATGTTGTGGTAGTCTGTGCTTTTTTCATAGTTAACGCAACCAACACACAACACTTCACCCATCATGTTTTGTTTAAAGACAACACTTCTCTCTAATGTTCAGCAGTTCATATCTCTACATACAAAATATTAAGTCTAGGTCACAGGGCACAGATACAGAATCCGGGAAAAAAAGTAGTTTTTATGGAAACTAGATTCTTCTCTGCTAGCTCACACGGGCTGGTCCTCAAAGACTCTAAAAAGCATGAGGAAACAAAGTCATCCTCTTGTCTTACAATCAAAGTCAAGACCACATGATCCACCTCTTGATCACTCACGGTGAACATCACCTGAATTCCACTGAGAATATTCAAAGCAGAAGTGAATTTAAAACACACAGAGCTAAGGCAGAACTCAATTCTTATTCAATGATTGAGAAATATTTTCCACTTGGTTTCAGATACCAATCTGACTACTTCTCATTACCTTTAATAGTTTGAAGCCTTAAACCTCATGGAAAACAGTATATATTGAAAGCATATAATTTAGTTATAAAGTACTCAAAAGTTGGGATATGATCATTCCTGCCACCTTAATTCTGCCCTTTGTGTCTGCACTGTGCCTCAAGTGAAGCAAGATTCCTGTGGGGAAAAATAGTATGTGATCATGTAATTAATTAAAGACTTACTCTTAATGATTTTATGCAAAGGGACAGAGTTAAGGCTGCCTGAGGATATATAAAATTGGCATTTGCCTACTTCTTAAGAGTTTATTCAACAGCTTAAATACATCTTTTAACACAGGGTTTATATGAAATTTCCAAGTTTTTCGTTTATCAAAACTTTTTTCTACATTTAGCTGTATCCACATCACCACAAGATATATGCAGCAAGTTTTGCCTCCTGAACAAAGGTGCAAAGAAGTAGGAAATGAGTTTGAGTGGACTTCCTTAACCCATGATTTCTACCAGGATGATCTCAGTAACTTCCATGGACTTACATATTAGTATAATGAGATCAGCATAGTGCTGACACATTTAACTTTATATGACCATTTTTAAACAGACAAGCTGAAAAAAAGCAGTAATGGAGTCTTAACTTTATAGCCTTTGGCATCCTTGATTACTATGTAAGATACCGTAATTCCTTTACAGATTCCATATTTTTAAAGCTGCATTAATCTGTTAATGAAGATGTCACTAGACTAGGCTGTTTAACTTCAATTTAGTCCAAAATTGCTCTGAATTTGGGGACAAAATGATTGGGGAATGTAAAGTTGATGGATATTTTCCTGATGCCTAGATTTAAGAAACCTTGTAAATACACATTAGAAAAATGCATCACACTGGGTAGGTCGAAAGCAGCAGCTGGATTCCATTCTGCTCTAGTCTTTAACAAGACTGCTAACTTAGTTCTGATTCCTTAAATTTATCCTTCAGAATGACTAATATTAAAAGAGATTGGGAGAAAGAGGAGGATATTAACTGACAAAATCTGATAGGGACACCATTTTTGTAACAGCAGAAAATGTTGTGATACTACAAAACATCAGTTTGTAGAATAAAACCAGGAGTTTACACTAAAATTTTGTGTCCAGTAACAAAGAAACTACAGCCTAGAGTGATCAGAAAGTATAGTCCATTCTAAAGCTATTTACCTGATTCTTCATTTTGGGTTACATCTATCATGGATATATTAATTTTACACTGCTGAAATGAATTTATTGAGAACTGCTAAACTCCTTTTTTTTCATTCTAATAAAAAAAATCCAAACAGCAAAGTACAGAGCACTGCTTCCATGACTGTATCATAGACTCATTTCTGTCTTTCTTGCACCTTTGTGCATCATTTACAGCTATAAACATTTAAGATCACTAGCATGGAGATGTTCACTTGTTTGTACTGAAGCTCATGATTTACATTTTGTGCACAAGTGAATAACAATGGTACACAGCAGGACAGAAGTAGGGCCTCTGAACTGTGGTTTTATTGGCCGTCCCCAAGAAAATCCGCAGGAGCCTTCCATTGATCTCAGAAAGGTCAGAACTCTGCCAAACTTCCTCAAATCCTTTTTACAAGGATTATGGCAGAAACTCTAAATTGAAATGCTATGGTGATCTTCCTATAAAGTGGGTCAGCCAATAGGAATTTTTATAAATATAGATTGATATTATGTAGATAGAAAAACAATACTTTTTTTTCAAAGGTTTATGGATATAAATACATAAATAATGTCACAAATAACTACTGTCATTCTGTCAGGGAAATCAGAACATCAGAACTGGCTACATGCAGTGCACTACAGTGAAAGTTCGATGGAGAATACAGTTAATATATTTGATAGCAGCTGAAATTCATCCGATGAGGATGACGAGGGACTGAACACTGCAGCAAATATCTTCTAATAAGGTCTCACAGGGCTCTGTTTTCATAGACACAGTAAAGCGAAAAAACTAAGTCCTCGGGCCTATAACTAGACAAAAGTAAAAAATCCTAAGATCAAAGTCAATATGAATCTGTCCAGTTGGTGTCCTAAATAACAAAGTATCAATAAAAAAGCTTGGGACTTACAGGCAAGATTGAAACCTTGGGGAAGTTATGCAGTGTCTCCCATTCCCTTCTCAGGTATTCAAGTGAACCCACAAACACTATATGCTTGAGTTCATGGTAGTGGAAGTTGCTGGCTCGCAATGGCATCACTAGATTTCTTAATCCAATCAAAGCAGATTTAACATCCCCAAATATGCAGACAACCACATGCCCACTTAAAACTGTCATCGCTGCTTCACTTCGAGTCTAAAAAACAAAACAAAAAGAAAGAGATGCAAAACAAAAGGAAGCTCAAATTAGTTATTGAGTTTTAAAACAAAAAAAAACCCGCATCTGTCAATATTGTTCATGCACAAAGAAGCAGTTGGAAAAATAGCTGTTCAATTTTATACTTACTTATCCTTCATTAAAAGTGCTCCACAGAAGAAAATTTGGTCTTGTTCCCTTAAACATGCAGGAAAACATTGTACTAGTCCAAATTATGGCCTTCTATATGTTGCTACACACGTGGATTAAGACTCTAGCTACAACAGAAGCACTATGGATTTATCTAAGAACTGAATTTGTCTTACTGTGCATTTAGCCACTAAAAGGATTATAGAAAAGAGATGATTATCTGATGAACCACTAGTGCCTTTTCAGGACCAATATGAAAAGGAAAGCATGAGTGCCCAATGGTCACAACAGGGCCCTGTGACCTCTGGAGAGCAGAGGACCGTATGGTCCTTTCCGTGCTGGCCATGTCATTTTAGTACTAGCTGCCACCAGACTCCGAAGTAAACTGAAGAGCCCTCTACAGCATTATGATGTCCCATGGGTGCCCTCATGCTGCACTCTGTGGTGCTTCGCTTGCTCAGAAGTAACTGGTGTGCAAGATACTGACTAATACCAACTTTTCAGGCCAACTGGACTCTTTGAACATTTGAATGATGCTCAGTATTATGTTGTCTCAGTGACAAGAATTACATTTTTGCACTAATCTCATCAGGGGTAATATCAGTTGAGCAGGCAACTCAGAAACCATGATGATTAAGTAATGCCATTAGGAAATTATGACCTTCATTTCTGGAGCTGACCTTATATTGCACTCCATCAAATAACTGTAGATCCACTGATACCATATTGCCAAGAAACTGGACATTCTGGTATCATTTTACACAGGTTTTGCTAATGAATAAAACTAAGATAATGGTGAACTGAACAAAATTTTCTTTTTTCTTTGCTTTTCTATAGTACATGCTCTTTGTCTGAATTATGGAAATATGACAGTGTAGAATACGTAGCAAAGGAATTCACTGTGTAAGAAAAAAGGGAACTCTGGTTAGATTTCCCATCAGTTAAGAAAATATATGAACTCTCATTTTCACAGGTACAATTGCACCTTCATACAACTTAGGCCCTCAAACAACAGAACATGTGAGTGAATGTTTTAGTAGATATGAGTAGACCCATGCCTAAGGGTCCAACACACTGAGACTTTACAACACACAGCCCAAGTCATGAAATAAAATATTTTAAAAACTGTCTCTTCAAACTCATTAATTTGTATGTAGTCATGTATTTTCACCCAAACATCCAAAAAGCAAAGAAGTTCTCCCTGTCAGGTACTGCTGGCCTCTTGGAGAGCCAAAGCAAATCTTGGGCAGAGAAATGAGTTCTTTTCTGACTGAGACATCATCAACAAGTAGCAGTCAGACGATGACCTGGGAAATCCCATTATCTTCAAATTATGTACTGATTGGTAGTTGTGCAGTCTCTACGGAAAACATTAAATTTGCATGAATATGAATGTAGACATAAATTGTGGACAGTGAGCTTGAACAGGTGTATGAAAGCATTTTGCCAGCAATGTTTTTATTGGTGGTGATGCATGAAGCAGAAAGAACCCAGCCAGACTAACAGATTCACAGGCTCATAGGGGAAAAAAACTGACATGGAATCATCAAGAAGTCATAAGTGAGGCACTTCACAGTGCCATTTTTGGAGAAACACTTTTCAGAATGGGACAACATGTAGAGATCATTTCTAAATCATCTGCTAAAATATGCTTGAACGTGAAGACGGATTTCTATCTCTACCTTTTATCAGGCACTCAATGGTAGAACTGCTCCCTTTTGCCTGCTGAATACATAAAAATGCACACTAACTTCAGCTGCCCAGTGCAAATCCTGTCCCACACTTCAGTCACTAGAACTTGCAGTTGACTAACTCGACTGTTTAAACACCAGTATTGCAATTCCAGGCAACATTACAGAATGTTACGTTATTACAGAAACCCTTGAGGAGAAGTGGGAACAGGCTTTTATCCCCTGACTGTTAGAATAAACCAGGGCTGTCATCATTATTGGCTACACCATGCAACAGTGCAGGCTCAGGAAAAGCTTTATAAAGTGCGACAAAGTGAAGTTCCACCAGGGAGTTCATTTCAAATATCATCAGTTTTGTGTATGAGATCTGGAGTTAGTTACTTGTTACTCCTAGGTATGAGTACATGAACACATGTGGCACAAACTCTCACTGAGCAAAATGCTCTGCGATAGGCCTTCTAATTATTTTTAATTACTTGAGTCAGTTTTATGGCTTCTGCAGTCAAACAAGCAGATTAGGCCCAGTGCAACATGCTAGAGGGGCAGAGTAGTAGTACTACTTGCTCTGGCCTACTTGAGTATCTTGAAATGTTGGAAACCGACATTTTGAGAAAGCAAAATTCACATAAATAAGAAGTAAGGTAAAGCAACACTTGCCTATTTTAGAATGCATTATCACCTTGTGTAAAGAGACAAATGGGGTACACAGGCATTTAAATACTTCCAGTCTTGATTCTCAAAAGATACAAATTTAATGTGCAAAATTTCAGGTTATAAAACAAAAATGTAGACTGGGCCAAGTCGCATTGTGGTATTTGGCATACAGATTTATACAATCATATTTCCTTAATCAAAATGATAGCTTCAGTTTCACCATACTATGTTTCCTATTTCAATATGTCAGATTTAACGATAGTAGATATGAATTTATTAACTCATTAGGCATCAGTCCTACGGTTCAAATAACCTCTATTCTAACACAAGTAAGTACTAATACCTACCAGAATGACCTTTTCAATGTCCTTGGCTGGACACCAATGAAACATCCCCGTGGAATCATATTTTTTCACATTGGCATCCATGTTGTCAATCTGTTCATTGCCAGGAATTAACAAGGGGTCATGCCTGCGGAAAAACAAGTTGAGGACAACATAAGTGGAAAATATTATGAATTATGAATGGAAAGATATCCCAAGAGCTATGTCCAAGGAGGGATAAAAGTAAAAAAATGAAATGTATTTACACTTTACCATGTTTACATGCTTACTCTGCAGCCACTTTAAAATAAAAGCTAATTTTAAAAGGGAGTTTATAGATTTTGGGTGCAGTTTGGAAGGTTTTTTATACTTTTTCTAGACCAATAACCATTTGATTTTATATAGGACTTTCTGACACCTTCATGTCCACAATATTTTTTTTTCCAGCCCCACCCCTCCAAAATAAATTTCAAAGAGTTGCTATTAGCATCTGCAATGAAGTAGAAGGGATAGGAACAGAGCCGCATGCTGACTGACTGGCATAAGTATGGAAAGCCAATTATTTGCTTTTACCACATACAACTTCTGACGTGATGCTCTTCACAGTAAAAGCTTTAACAGGCTGCACTTTAAATATTTTAGCAATTTGCCCAATCATATTTTGCTTTCCCAAACTGAAGCCCTTTAAAGATTCAGCAGTATGTCATTTTAGAGCAGACTGACTAACAAATGCCCACATCTGGAATACATGATTTTAATACTAAACAACAATGTCCATTTTCTCTGACAACAGTATCTGTGATAACCTTTTCAGTGTTGTTTTTTTTTAGCAAGATTTTAAAGCACAAGGCTCCTCAAAGGAGAAGGAAATAACAGACATTTGTATAAACTTACTCTCCAGCAATATAATTACCTAAGCACAGAGCAGCCTATAGTGCTTTAATTTATATGCTGAAAAATAAACATTAAGGGAAAAAGTGGCTTCAACATTGTCAATTGCTAGCAAAGATTGCATTATACAATATCATTAGAATGAGGACCATGTTTATAAAGCAACCTTAAAATCTTTTAAAAAAAAGAAAACAAACAAACAAAAAATCCCAGGGAACATATTTTCATCTGGCCAAACTACACAGTCTCAACTCAAGGCTTCTCTCATGAACTAGAGACTAGAAATATCCTGATATAGAATCAAAACATTTCAAAGAAGGAAATATTTGCAATGCAGATATATGTTAAATATTCAGTGGCAGGTAACCAGATTTTAAACCAACTCACCTTTTCAAGCCTTTTAAAGAAATAAACATACTGGTTGAACTCTCAAAACTTGAAAGTTTCCTGCTTTTAAGGTATGTGAACCAGTAGAATGTGGCATGAACCTCTCTCTTGGAGAGTCCACGAAAGCAAACTTTGTTCACTGTATATGATACAGATCAATTTACTCTGAATATAGCACACTATGCTACCATGCTTAAAACTGTTTCGCTTTCATGCCTAAAAATGTTATAAGCTCTAATTCCTTCAGGGTGATTAATTTTGTGTCATTTCATAGTTACTGATTATATATTCACTGAAATCAATGGAAAATTCTCATTCATTTCAGTTGCATGGGGTCAACTCTATAGAAAGTGCCTTAAAGGACTTGAGGACTTGTATTAATACAGCATTCCATGTAAACAAGGGTGTTTTCACACTTTAATAAGCAGCAGTGCACTATGTGGTAAACTCAAAGTGAGACTCACCTGGAAAAAGAAATGCAATGCTTTCCTAGTTGTTTACATTCATTCAACAGAGATTCAGTTCAGTGCATTTCACTAGCAACCTGCTGGCATCAGAGGAATCTCAAGGGGACTACAAGGAGCTTCTGGCCCTGCTCCAGGGGCCGTAATGGAAGGCTTTGCCATAATGCTTGCTCCGCTTTCATGGGAGGCAGAAGTGACTTCTTGGTCCAAAAGCAGTACCAAAGAGGACTTTTTGTTGTTGTTTTAATTGCTAGAAAAATATCTAGGCTCTGCATTCTTCTACTCTAGTGGTCTACATGTTATGGTTTGGTTAGCTGCAGTGGTAGTATTTTGGCTGAGAAAGCTAAGTATGACACTGTTCATAGCATATTCCTTGATTGTAGCAGTTGCATCTGGTATGGTGAGGTCTGGGCCCATGGATACAATCCCTTTGGAGGCTGTACTAAAGTTCCGTCAACATTTAGTGGTATTTTATCCCTAACTACTCTGTTCCTAGCATTTTTTTTTCCTATTGCTTCGGAATTTATAATTTGTCTATGAGCTTTGAAGCTTTGTAAAGGATATTAACTACAATGGTAAAAATAGGTGATATCTTAGAGGTTGGAATAGTGTAAACACTAGCTGTGGAAGATGATGTTTCTGAAGCCTTGCCATTTGTTTCCCTAAGGTCCAATGCAAAGCATTTGCTCCTCAATTGTATACTGTTATGTCTGATAGGATGTGCTAGCTGTAAGTTTTCAAGTAAAAAACTCTTCAAAAGGATTAAGACTCTTCAGGAGTTCCTATGGAGAGGTTTTTTTAAAAAAAAAAACTTGCACAAGGCAGTTCTCCATAAGCATTTCATTGCATATCACTGAAACAGAAGGAAAGTTCACTAATGAAATATTCACTTCTCTTTTTCCTTTCAGAAATCAGATGTGAATGTGAAAGAATTGTCCCTTTCCCTTCATCAGAAATACTACGTAAAAAAAAAACTTTTAAATGCCACAAACTAAGTTCTGATTTCTTTTCTACTCCGAGATTTGAAAATCAATAGGTTGTTTTAATTCCTGAGAGGAAATTTCATATTTCATAATCCATGGTTTTCAATATAACTGACTTTCTTAAATTCACCAGTTTTGGGCTACACTATTATTTTCATCTCTCTTTTAACAATGATTTCTCATTCTGAGTAAAATGATCCTTAAAGATGTCTACAGAAGTTGAGACTTGTTATTACTAAGATAAGACTTTGCCCTTGGATGTTAGCAGATACTTACAAACAGAAGTGATCTCTGGACTTGTTTTTCTAACAAACATGGTTACGTTATAAAATAATATATTAATAAAATAGTATTTCTACTTTGGACATATACAGTCTCTTTAATCTGACGATCTAAACCTGTTTGGCAAATACTAAAAATTAATTGAGACAGACACACAAAGGCCGATGCTGTCAAATCTGCCTAAGGGGTCTGGACACCCTCTTCCTCTTAAAATTCATATTACACAAAGCATTACAGTTGTTGTCCTTACAGCCATATCATGGACTGAATGCTTATAGAGCCCCACTGCCCCCCTCACCCTTGAAGATGGCCCTGTCAAGTTATGCTTGAATCACACTGGCAGGTTCCTGTGGAAAAGCCTGCATTACTGCCACAGCTATTGTGTTCTCCAGGGCTGTAAAGTCATCTGCTTGCAAAAAATGCGTGAAAAATTCACATGAAAGAAGGAGGAAAAAAAAAAAAAAAAACTCTAACAATTAAAACTAGAGCGTCTGCTTTAATGAGATGATGTTTCCTATCACTTGCAATGATCAAATCATTTGGTCATTCCAGCAAGCAAAAGACAGGTATCTATGACACCTATGAGTAAAAAGAAAAAAATAAACCTCCAAAAGTCATATATTTTCCTCATCCATAATATCCTCTTTAAAAATAGATTCTCTGGTTCTTATGGCAAATATTACCTACGCATGACTTAAAAAGAAGATGAAACACAATCTTTCTAAGTTTTCTGAAGAGCATATAATGCCACTTATGATCAATTAAACTAGAGAATGACACTAAATGCCATGTTACTGCAGCAAACCCAAAAAGCTTGCCTGGAAGATAAACAGCCTAAAGCAAAACCGTAAATCCCATTTCCAGTAAACCTACTGTGATGAACATTACATTTTAAAGAGCACTGCCTTCCTTGCAGACATTTACAGTTACTCCAAGCACATTCATATCAGGTTTTTGACTCTGAAACTTCTATGTTATGGCTGGGGATGGACAGAACTGGGAAAACCAGCAAGGGTTAAATGGCTACCTTACATTAGCGTTTCCTTGGATTTTGTCACTTGCTCAATTCTTTTGACAGTGCACATACGTAACTGCTGCTGTATGCAGCAATACACCCTATTGATCTGCAGGAGAACTCCCCCAGAAGTTAAGCCTGGGACTGAGTTGCTGTATGACCGGTAGAAACTCAGCTGACCAAACTGCCCAAAATACCTCCTTTTATAAAAGCAGTGGTGAAACAGCCCTGCAGTAGCACAACTTCTTTCTGTGCTGGGCAAAAACTGTAATTATGCCTTCCTCAGGTCGCCATACCGGTTCCGGATCTTGCAACAAGAAGGGTGAGCAGCGTCCTGTAGCAATTCGGTGTCTTGATATAATTCAGGGTCTCACCTGGTGTGTGGACCAGTACTTTTGAGTTTTCTTACCAGATTTTGTGTCTTTGCCTGTGTGTATGTGTGTACATACACTTATGTATACACAAGCATACTTAGTTTTAGGACTAAGGAGAGGGTTTGCAGAAAATAAGATTGGAAGTGAAGATGCAGTGCAGAATGTCTCATCCCTTTCAAATTTCTCCTTACAACTACCCTAACAAATTGTGGCAATTAACATGCGGTTAGTGTTAGATGTATGCAGCCAGTGCAGGTGCTAATAATTGAAAAAGCATTTAGAGCTTTTACACCCTAGCTGAATATTTCATGATGTGCTGCATGTTTCACTATTTACTCAGTGGGCCTCTGTCACTTCAATCTTCCCTGCCTGCTTTGACTGGTGCTATAAAGCTCAAGCAGGATAGAGTGACGGCTTGTCACCAGCAACTCCAGCGCCGGCTGCAGCGCGCTGGGACTAGCTGTGAAGGTTGTCACGACATTCTGATGGAATCCAGCAAATGTTTTGTGACTAATACACCCAACATTTGTCGGCTACCATTAGCCGTTCCCTGTGACCCTCTGCCGCCTGTGTGGATGGCATTAAGTTGTAATGAGAATTAGTTGCCTATGTGTGTTACACTAATGACACTCTTACTGATCTTTAGTTTCACAGGTTAATCAGTGACAAAATTGGTAAGGATTCAGTGATCAGATGCAAAAAGAATTATGGAAGGAAAACTAGCAGAAGAGGAGGAAAAAAAATCTGTAGTT